TTTGCCGGATGACCCCAGAGCACGGGGCAGGCTGACCCTCAGGCCACCAGCCCTGGGGGGGAGAAATGACTGCTGCTCTTCAGCGAGGACCTGGAGCCTCCCCACAGGGCTGTTGACACCCTCATCTCCCTCACTCAGGGTCTCTCTGCACCCTCTTGCTCCGAGCTCCCTTACCTGATGTCCTGATTGCATCCAGTGCCTTCATCCTGTACAGGTAGTTATAGCAGCCTGGGAAACGGGAAAGAACAAACTGAGAGCTCTGCAAACCTTGGAGGGAGGCGGAGAAAGGGAAAACAGGAGCAGAGACACCATCTCATGTGACAGGACACCAACGTGAGCAGCCAAAAATGCAACTTGGCCCCAGGGGAACAACAACTGTGGGACAGTACCTGGTGTCTCCAACTGCAGGAGCCGGCCATCGTCCTCAGCCAGCAGCCGTGGTTCGTACTTGATGTCCTGCACCCTTGATAGTCGAATGTCGATCTCCTCCTTTAAATCCTGCACAGCAGGAAAAAACCCGACATGTTCACTTAGATTGTGGGATCACAAGGATAAGAACAGGCCTTACACAAACTGCTCCCTCCCCGCTGCCCTACTGCTACTCCACGGTGGCAGCTCTGCTGCTGGAGCAGCCCCTGCCCGTCCCTCAGAGCACAGGGGATGGAGTGCACCCACCTTGGGCGCATGCTGTCCCACAGGCACGTGGGGGCCGCGGCGGGATTTCATGGCGAAGCGCATGATCTGGCGCTTCACGAAGATGAAGAGCAGCACGAACACCTAAGGAGCCACAGCGGGGCGGGGGGTCAAGCATGAGCCGGGGGGTGTCACAGATAACCCAGCCCACCGACTCCCCCTTCTCAGCCCTCCAACCCCAGCGGGCACAAGGGTCTCGCTTCAGTCCCCCGGGAGCCTCGCGGACACCCAGCCCGGCCCCACAGACCCCCAGCCTCCACAGAGGCTCCCACCCACGTCCTCCCCCCGCCTTACCGACGCCAGGAGCTTACGGGCGGTCCAGCCCAGGCCCCTGAGGGCCCCGAGCCAGGCTCCGAGGGGTTCCCCACGAACAGCCCGAGACCTGCCCGACGGGCGCGTTACGGACTCCACGGGAGTCTCGTGGACACGCCGGGAGCGGCCTCACCGGGGCCGCACGGACATGAGCGGCCCGGCTCCGCGGACACGCCCGGAACGCCCCGCACGGGCACGTCAGCCCCGCGTCGGCCCCAGCCCACCCCGCCGGCCCTCACCAGGCTGCCGTAGGCCATGACCAGCACCACGTTGACCCCCGAGAGCCAGTTGCTGCCGGCCCCCGCCATGCCCGGCCTGGCCCGGGGCCGCACAACATGGCGGCCGCGAACCCGCCCTGCAGCCCGCGGCACGTGACCGAGGAGGAGGAGAGGGGGGAGCCGCGGTCACGTGTCCCCGCGCGGCGCCAGCGCAGCGCGCGCGGCCCCTCCCCGCGCGGTCACGTGCCGGGGGCGGGGCCGGGGGAGTTGTCAGTGCGGGCGGACCCAGGTAAAGTTGCGGCGGCGGCGGTGGCGGCTCCGGTACCGCGCGGCCCCCGAGCCCGCCCCTTCCCCGCCGGGCACCCCCCGCCGCTGCCCTACGGCCCGCCCGGCCCTTCCGCCGCCACCGCCGCCCCACGGCCCGCCCGGTCCCGCCGCGCTCCGGAGGCGGCTCCGCGCCCCGGCGCCGCCGCTGGGCCCCGCGCGGCCTAGTGGGCCGGGCCGCGGCCGGGGGCTGGCGTAGCGCGCGCGGCCGCCGCAGGTGAGGCGGGCGGGCGGGCCGGGTGCGGGCGGGCCGGGTGCGGGCAGGCGGGCGGCAGGGGGGGTGAAATGGCGGCCGCGGCCATGAGGGCGGAAGCGGCCCGAACTCGCCCGCCTCCCTGGTGCGGGCCCGGCCTGGCGCCGCCGCGGGGGCTCCCGCCCCGGCCCCGCCGGCGCCCTCCGGTTCGCTCCGGCCCGCTCCGGCCGTTCGGCCCCCATTGTGTGCCGCGGGGTCGGGCGGCTCCGGGCCCTGCCGCGCTCCCGCGGCCCGCCCGGCCCCGCCGGTGCCGACGGTAACAATGGGAGCCGAGCTCCCGCCCCGCCGGGCTCCTCACGGGCCGCCGGGCCCGCTGCCGGCACCGCTCCTCGGTGGCGCCCCGGGGGCCGTGGCCGGGGTGGGCCCCGCGGCCCACGGGAAATCCGCGGGCGACGCCGGTCCGGGGGTCCTAGAGGAGCCCCGGCCCGCGAGCGCGGCCCGCCCTCCAGGTTCCTCCATTCCGGTCGGGGGGCTCTGCCTGCGCCCTCCGACCGGAGAGTCTCCCCGGTAAAGCGCTGCCCATCGGTACCACCACGGGGTCTCTGGTGGCATATCCGGAGGTATCTCCCCAAAAGTTCGTGCACTGCACGTGCGGGGGGTGACTCGGTCTGCAGCTGCCATGTTTTTGCTCCGGGGAAAAAACTCTCACACCGATAACCCTCTTTTGGGTGCTTGTTCTGCCTCACAGTGTGGGAAAATCTTTCCAAATGCTCTTTGCCCTCTCTGGTCCTTTTCTCTGGGGCTTCGAAGCCTTCTGCAGTTGTTAATTAAGCATTGTTGGAATGGGCTGGAAATACCAATTTTTCTGTATTTAACAGATAAGGGAAACTGAGGCTGGGATGTGCCAGGACTCGCCCAGCGGCAGCCAGCAGATCTGGCACAGCCATGGGACCCGCAGATCCTGGTTCTGAATCTGTAACTTACCTGATGTTTCTAATAAAATGAAGTTTGTTACATTTTTGTATCCCCTCTTCTTCTGGAGACTCCACACTTCACCTGTGTAGCTGAGGCTCTCCTCCCTAGGCCTGGCAGGCGGGCAGTGGTGTGGTCTGAGAAGGAAAAGGGGTCAGCCGAGCACATCACGTTTGATGCAATGTCTTTGAGCAGAGGGTGTTGTAGCCTGTAGTTTTGTTTTCCCTAAGCCCTGTCCGAGGGCAACACTGGCCCATTGACCTGTAGCTGCCCCCTTTAATGCCAGTGCTGTGGTGTGGACTGGCTTTTGGTGAGGACAGCTCCAAACTGGAAAACTGCGCAGGCGTCAGAATAACCATGTTCCATGCTTCAGTGCTGCCCCTAAGCCAGGCTCAAGTTCCCCCACTGAGGAATAAGTTATCACTAGCCAAATTTCTCTTTCCTTAAGGCAGCTGTGGAGTCTGCATGGGGGCACTCCCTCACCTGCCAGCCTTGGCAGGGTCAGGGCCTGGCTGAGATTTCTATTGTAGATGTTTTTTGCACGTTAGAGGACCCAAACACTGGTGTTACTTGTGGCAGTGATGGCAACTGGGCAGAGCAGAGCGTGGCAGCTGCTGAACAAAATGCCTGGGTGCTGCACAAGGTTTGAACTCAGCCTGCTGGAACTGTGGCCCAGGGGAGCTGCAGGTTGGGTTCCTGTGGACATGCAGGATCACTTCCCTCTGCTGTCAGGTTGGTTTAGTATGACAAATTGTGCATGGAGCTTGAAGCTGGAGGAGACATAGCGATGGTGAGCAAAAATAAATAACGTGGGGAAGAAGCCTGCACGGAGGGGATGGCTGGGGGCTGGAGGCTGTCTGCTTCCACCTCGGGGTGCTCTTCCCCCACAGCTTGGGGTCTCCTGATGGCCGCACAGGTAGCTTGGATCATTTCCTGATAAGAGACCTTGGCACTGTATAGTAGGAAAACTGTGGTATTAAGTTGCCATGAGGTGTGGGTGACTACAAAGGGGGGATTTCAGGGGTTTTGTTGGGAACTGTGGGAGCAATGGCACAAAAACTTGCCTATGGAGAAATGCTGGGCACAGGTTGGAGCAGGCACGGGGGGTATGCATCCAGTGCAGGGCAATATTGGTGTCTCCCTGCTCTCAGGAAGCATTTCTCACCCAGGCGGGTACTTGCAGACTTCCACAGGAGATTCCCCAGTGTTTCCTGGGATGTTTGCTAATGCTGCTGCTGAGCTTCCCTGCCTGGCACACCAGGTCTCTCCCTGTGCTGCCCTGCCCGTGTGCACAGGTCGGATTGTCCCACTCAGCTTTCCTCCTTGCTCTCATGCTCCATCCATGGCTCCTTCCCCTGTCCCAGGCACCTGGAGCAGACCCTGCTGCTTTGGGGGAAGGCTTCACGCTCTTGGTAACGAAATACAAAACTGTGAGTTCTGTGATTATTGAGATTTCGGGGGCTTGGAAGTTGTGAGTCCTGCCAAGTGCCATGGGATGTCACTGGCATTCCTTGTGCCTGGAAGGCGCTAGGCAGGGTAAAACGACTCAGTGCCAATCCCCTTCTAAACCACCTCCCCTCACCTCCAGCTTGGGCTCTGCCCTGAGGCCCAGTGTGAGGTTAGAAAACTCCACTTGCTTTGGACGCTCATTGGCCTGAACTCTCCCTGGGATTTTTTGCCTCAAGCAGTTATCTAATGATGTTACTGGCTGTTGCTTGCTGACATCTAGTTCACTTTTTGGTATGTTTTTAATCTAGAAAACTTAGTATTTCCAATTTGGGGGAATAACTGAAGCATGCAAAAATAGGCAGTTCTGCAAGGGCAGGTTTTCTTTAAAAAAAAAAATTCCATAGGCCTGTAGCACCACTTATTCCTGGAGTGTTTTTGCTTCCCCTGCTCTGCTTTGAAGGCAAGAAAGGAGAAGTAGTTGAAGTGTCTGAGGCTCTGAGATGCTCTGTTCTCCAAGTGAAGTTTCTTTGGTGCTTTCTTCAAGCATTCCTGCTCCATTTGATGGCCACAGACTCACCATGAGCTCATGGCAAATCCGTGCTCGCTCACACATGTGTTTCAACAGCAAGTCATTAAACCCTTTGCCCCAAGTCCGGGAAATGGCTTCAAACTGAAGGAGGGTTGATCTAGATTAGCGAAGGAAGGGGTTTTTTTACAATGAGGGTGGTGAGACCCTGGCACAGGTTGCCTAGAGAAGCTGTGGCTGCCCCATCCCTGAAAGTGTCCAAGGCCAGGCTGGACGGGGCTCGGAGCAATCTGGGCTAGTGGAACATGTCCCTGCCCATGGCAGGAGGTGGGACTGGATGAGCTTTAAGGTGCCTTTCAACCCAACCCAGTCTGACTCTGAGTCTACTTCTTGCTCCCATGTGGATGCAGGAAATGTTTCATTTGGAACAACCTGCCATGGAATTGGCAGAGAAATCTCGAGAAGTGCAAGTGGCTGTTTTGTGCTGGGAGCACATGGTGATGGCAGCCTGGCCTGCCATGGTTTTAGGGAAGTGGTGGGGAGGGTGGGGGCCTGCGACGGGTGTTCTGGCTGTGTTGCCCGTACAATTGTTCAGTCCCTGGTGCTGCCTTTTGGTTTTGGTTTCTAACAGTCTGTTCTCTCTTCTCCCCAACCCACCACAGAGTTCTACCTTGTAAATACTGTTATTTGTATATACTGTAAATGATGACATCGGTGGGCACTAACCGAACCCGGGGGAACTGGGAGCAGACACAGACACAGAGCCAGATGCAGCACAAGCAGCGGCCGCAGGTAAGGGCAGTGTCCATGGAAACCAGGTAGCTTACAGGTGGAGACCTGGCTCTCCTGCTTGGCCTGGTGCTAATGGGTGGCTTGCCTAAGAACTGCCAGAGCCAGGTTAATTGGGCAGCCACTGTCGCTGGTGTTTGTGTCAGTGTCTCCGAGTGGGACCCGACGCTGAGATTTGGTTTTGTTTCCGTCTGACTGTTCCCTCCTCGCTTTAGTGAATGCAAGTGGCTGAGAAGCTGCCTGCAGTGGGTCTTGGTGTTCTGGTGGTGGTAAGGTTTGCCCCAAAACAGAAGTGGTTCAGGTGGCTGCTGCTCCCCTGGTGTCATAAGGCCAACCAGCAGTACCTCCCTTTCTTTCAGAATCCCCTTGTTCCTTTTTCATCTCACTTTCCCCCTGGACCTGTCCTTTTCTGACCCTTGTTTGCACCTTTTCTTTACCATACTGATTCCTTTCCAGAAATCTCAGAGAAGTGGAATGGCCTTTGGAGGACAGTTTGGAAATGGGCTGCTCTGACCATGCTCTCTCTATCCATCTGATTTCTTTAGGCCACTGCGGAACAGATTCGACTTGCACAGATGATTTCGGACCACAACGATGCTGACTTTGAGGAGAAGGTGAAACAAGTGAGTGTGGAAAGTGAAGATGAACCCTGACGGGGAGGCAAGATCAATACTGGAAGGACTGCGAATGCTGAGGGGGTGGGAGGGACACATCTGGCTGCTTCCTGAATTTCCTTGGACTGGTTTTACAGAGTTGTATCATAGAATGATTTGGGTCAGAAAGGACCTTCGTGCCATGGTCCAGATTGTTCCAAGCCCTCTGCAACCTGGCCTTGAACACTTCCTGGGATGGGGCAGCCACAGCTTCTCTGGGCAACCTGTGCCAGGGCCTCACCACACCACCCTCCCAGGGAAGAATTCCTTCCCAATATCCAACCTACCTTTGGCAGTGGGAAGCCATTTCCCCTTGGTTCTATCACTCCGGACCCTTGTCCAAGGTCCATCTCCAACTCTCTTGGAGCCCCTTTCAGCACTGGAAGGGGCTCCAAGGTTTCTCTGGAACCCTCTCTTCTCCAGCCTGAACACCCATGGCTCTCCCAGCCTGTGTCCAGAGCAGAGGGGCTCCAGCCCTCAGAGCACCTCTGTGGCCTCCTCTGGTCCTGCCCCAGCAGCTCCACGTCCTTCCTGTGCTGGGGGGCCCCAGAGCTGGAGGCAGCACGCAGGTGGGGTCTTACCTGAGCAAAGCAGAGGGGTAGAATCCCCCCCCTCACGTGCTGCCCACACTGTGGGGATGAGCCCGGGAAAGTGTTGGCTTTCTGGGCTCCCAGTGCACATTGCCAGGTCATGTTAACCCACATCTCCGAGTCCTCCTCCTCTGGGCTGCTCTCCATCCATTCTTCCCCAGCTTGTGTTTGTGCTTGGGGTTGCCCCGATGCAGGAGCAGCACCTTTTGCCTTGCTGAATTTCCGGTTTGTTCCCACAGGTGACAGTGTTGTACTGGGAAAAGGGGGTTATAGGTTGGGTCATGGTGAAACAATGGTAACTTTCACACTCTCAGTTACTCCTCATTGAGGGATGCAGTTAAGCTGAGAAGGCTGGGGAGACTTACAAGCCCTGAATTTTTTTTTTTTTTTAAGGATTTCTGGTTTGGGATTCAACTTGCCTCCTGAGAGACCCATAGACATTTTGATGCCATCTTAGTTTGGAACATGTTGACTGTGGTGTTGTCTTCTTTACAGCTGATTGACATCACAGGCAAGAACCAGGACGAGTGTGTGATTGCTCTGCATGACTGCAATGGGGATGTCAACAGAGCCATCAATGTGCTGCTGGAGGGCAATCCGGACACGGTAGGATTGGGGCCTGTAAATCTGGTGAGGCCTAGCTCAGTGTCACTGCACATTTGCAGGTGAGGCATCCTGTAATGTCAAGATAAGGAGAGCCACGACTGACTAGTTCCACAGGAGCACGCAAAGCATGACTGTGACCTGACTACTGAACGCTGCTCTCCGTGGCCTTGCACGGACTGTGAGCTTGGCCCTAGGCTCGAAGGAATAGAGGGGGAAATGCAATAAGTCATTTCCTTCCTATTCGTTTTGAATCCAAGCAGTTTGACAACAGTGCAGTGGCATCTGTATGTACTTTCACACCACTGAGTGTGAAGGAACGTACCTTTCCCTACCAGGGCTGTGTGACCTGTGTTGAAAGGCAGGTATGTGTCAGGTCCTTTCTGTCAGAGTAACATAGTTTTTTTGTCTCTGGCCCTAAACACTTCTCAGCAATGTCCTGTCTGGTTTGTGTGCTGCTGCCCATGCCACAGTTTTGAGGGTCTTTTCGCGGTTTGTTTTCTGTGGAATCGGGCTTGGCTGCTGTCCTTCACACAGGTGCCTCTCTCAAGCAAGCCGAGGTCAGCTCCGAGAACAAGTGAGCGCTTGCTTAAGAGGAACCTTCTGCCTGTGTGTGGGGCGTCATTCCTTTTGTGGTATAGATGGCAGATTTGCAAGTTCTCTTACAGCCCAGAAAAAAGCCTATGAGTATCAGATCCTCCCAAACTGCCACTGATCACAGGTATCCTCCTGGCACCCTGGTTTGGCTGGAGCCAACTCAACTCCTTGTAGAGTTGAGGCTCTGAATATCACTTCTCAATATTATCTATTAGCTCATTTTTTTCCCCTGTGATGAACCCTTGGGGACAGGGGAGTGAGCCGGATGCCCCAGACTATGTTGTGTGTATCGCAGCTGCTCCCCAGTGTCAGGTGCTCTGCTTTGGCACCGGCCAGGTTCCATACAGTGCACGTACCCGTTCCTCCTTGTCTTTAGAGAGCCCTTGCCATTGACAACTGATCAAAAGATCTATTAGAAAAGCTTTTTAGAAAAGGAAATAATATGGATGTGCATTGCTGAGGCATAGTTCTGCCATGATTGTATTTTTCTCCAGATCTCTTGTAACCCGTGACTTCTAGTCAGAGAACAAACCTCTGCCATCACAGCGATTTAATTTCCTAGAGAAACGCATGGCTCGGGAGAGCAGAATCCAGGACAGGGTGCAGCACCCGGCGTTGTGGAGCAGCACTTCCTTTATGGGAGCAGCTGAGAGGCCCAGCAGCACAAGGTGTGCAGGGCAGGGTGTGGAGAGGCAGGCAGGGAGCAGGTGGAGAAAGCCCTAGGCTGCCACTGGTCCAGCCCTGTGGCCCTGCAGCTGCCACATCGCTGAGCACAGGCAGTCCCTGCACTGCCATTGGTCAGGTGTCTTGGAGCTGCTTCTGGCCTGAATTCAGCTTGTGCAGCAATCCTGGAAAGGGAATTTTTGGAGAGAAAACAGCCCTGCTAATTGCTTGGGTGCACTGGTGCTGATGAGGACAGCTTGCCTGCTGAGCTAGTTACTGGTAATGTATTTGAAACAGTAAAGGAGCAGGTGTTACCTTAGAATTGGATTAGGTTTGGTTTAAATTACAGTATGCCAAGTAAACATTTCCCAAGTAAACATTTTTGTAAGTTTTCTTTAGAGCAAGATACCTATGGAGGGAGACTTTGGGAGCCTTGGGTTTGATGGCAGTTTGTACCACTATGTTGTTGGGTGTTTTGTCCTCCCTGCATGCTGCCATCCAAAACCAGCTGTTGACTTGCCTGCCAGTTGTGTTTTCAGGTGATTGTCAATGACTTGTGACTATTTTTAATTGTTTCACCAGCATGCAGCATCGGTTTAAGAGTATGAAACTGCTGCAGACTGTCATAAAATAAATGAGTGCAGGCCCATGGCAGTGAGCTGGAGGCACACTTAACTTTTTACAGTTGAACTTGAGATGAGTTGAATTCTGTGATGCTTCTCTCCTGTCTGAGCTGCTGTTTCGGGAGGGGTTTTGTTAATCACTCTGCATGTGAGAGAAGAACTTACTCCAAAATGTTGACTGCAGAGCACTATGGAACATTTACCTGGGTTATTCTGAGAGCTCTTGGTCATCTGTGTGAAATGGCAGGGTTTTTTCCCCTAAACAAGGTAAATTTATCCATGCTTTCAACTCTGGAAATATCATGCCCTCTCTACTGAAGAATTTTAGTGCAGAAATAGAAAAAGTCGTCTCCTGTTACTTCAAACTGCATGCCAGTCAGCTGTGAGAAAACTTTCCTTGAAGGAAGAAGCTATGCTGTGTGTAGACTCCTCAAATAAAAAATTGGTCTGGAAACCATTTCTTCAGAGACTCTTGTTATATACCCTGTAGCATGTTTAAATCTCTGTGTATTTGCATCTTGCATTGATAAAGCTATGATTAATTTCTTTCCCCTCTGCAAACCTTCAGCATTCCTGGGAAATGGTCGGGAAGAAGAAGGGTGTCTCAGGACAGAAGGAGAGTGGACAGACAGAGCCCAGTGAAGAAAGCAAAGAAAACCGGGAGCGGGAGCGGGATTTCAGCAGACGACGTGGCGGGCCACCGAGACGGGGGCGAGGTGCCAGCCGTGGAAGAGAGTGTATGGACCTGCCCTTTCATAGCCCCCAAAACTCTCCCACTGAAGCACTTAGTGCTGTGTAACAGCTGTCTGTAAAGCTTCTCAAGCAGGCACATCTGTGAGGAAAACCATTCGTATGTATGTGTGTGGATCTGATGCGTTCTCACTACCATCAGATTAAATCAAAAGTTCTGGGAGCCTGTGGTGACGTGGTCCCCTGTACAGCCACTGCACTTTGGGGTTTGAGGTCTGGTCTTGTACCCCCACTAAAGGAGAATGAGTCTTGAAATTGTCTTTGCATTGTTTTGTCTTTCAGTTCGGGGCCAGGAGAATGGACTAGATGGTGGGAAGAGTGGAGGATCTTCTGGAAGAGGCACAGAAAGAGGGAGGCGGGGACGTGGCCGAGGCCGAGGTACACATGGGGTTTGGGGTCCGAGGGGGTGGGAGGAGAAGAATGGCAGCAGTGTATCTATCTTCCATGAGGTTCCAAAGCCTCGTTTATGGGAGGAATTGCCAAACTGAAAATACACGCTTTAATTTTCCTGTCCTTATGCTTATCGGTAGTGTTTACATGTTGCTTCCCCATCCTAAGCATGCTAGAAACATCACCTAGTTCTTGCATCCCATCTGTGGAGTTAGAACAAAAATTGAGCTTTGTTACAGAGGTGGGAAGTTAAAAAACCCAAGATGACTATTTGGCAGGTGGGTCAATGGCTTGTTAGCAACAGAACCTGCATCCTTGTTCTTACATGTGTGTCTGAGCACCATCACTGGCTTGAGCTTTAAATACTTGGTGCAGAAATTTATTTTTCCACAAAATCTACTGCTCAGAAATTGTTGCTGAGGTCACACCCTGCAAAAATCAGAACCTGGGATTCAGTACTTATGGTTTGTGCCAGCTGGAAACCTTATCTGAGCCTGGAATCATGCATTGCTAATCATGCTGCCAGCCAGCTGAGGTCATTCCCATCTGTCTAAAGACGATGCTGGAAATCCCATCAACTCAGGAAGGTCCTCTTCACTTCCATATTCTGGGCATCAGAACTCTATATGTTGTTCAAGTGTTTCTTTTTCCAGTGACATAGAGCCAAGAGATGCTCAGAAGTGCCTATGTCTGTGTATTTACAGGTGGCTCTGGACGGCGAGGGGGAAGATTTTCTGCCCAAGGCATGGGGTAAGTTTCACTGGCACAAACCACAGCAAAGATAAGTCTGTGCATGAATAGTACTGTTTGTGTCAGTCATTTGTGTTCCCATTTTTTTTTGTTAATAAGTCCCAAACTGCATCATGCTAACTTAGATTTGGGGGTGGCTAGCATAGCTGAAGCATCCCTGTGCTGAAAGAACTGCCTTGTGAGACTCTGAATAACATCCGTTGCTTTCAAAATATTTAGCCAAGAGAGAGTGAACATTTCCATCTTTGTATTTCTTATAGAACTTTCAACCCTGCTGACTATGCTGAGCCAGCCAGCACGGATGAGAACTATGGGAATAGCAACAACAACACGTGGAACAACACTGGGAGCTTTGAGCCGGACGATGGCACAAGTAAGTGTCAAACGCACATGTGCTGGTTTGTGTTGAGAGGGTGAGTGGATTTTGCATCCATCCAGTTGCACTGAGGAGGTTCTGGGCAGGTCTTAGGCTCAGGGATGGAGGAATGGGTTGTTAGTTCAGAGATGAATTTCAGTGACCCTAATTCTTTGTACCTTTGCACATGTTTTGATGATTGCCCTGGAAATGGGGAGCTGGATGATTGCTGTGGGGTGCACGACAGAGGCACAGGAACATTCACCTCTGTTTTCCAGTAGAAACCATGCTACTGTTTGGAAGAGTGGGGGTTTTTTTATGAACTGTAGTGTATTAAACAGGTCCAAGTTCTCCTGATGTTAGGTGCATCCTCCAGAGAATATTACTTGGAGTCAAATGTCTTGCTCTTGATTTTGGTACTAGGAGCATTCTCTC